CGGGGAGGGGCAGAGCTAGATTAGAAAGGGGCGGGGGCAGGGAGGGGGCGGATCCATGGGAGGAGCGGAGCTGGGCCTGGGGTGAGCCGAGGGTGGGAGGGGTGGAACTGGGCCAGAAAGGGGTGGGACCATGGAGGGAGGAGCAGAGCTGGGCCTGGGGTGGGCGGGACTGAGCCAGGGAGGGAGGGGGCAGGAGGGCCCCGGAGTGGGTGGGCCAGGGCGGGGGCGGGGCTGGTTCAGGGGGTGGGTCGGGCCAGAGAGGAGGCGGGGCCTGATCTGGGTCTGGGGTGGGCCCGGGTGGGCGGGACTGGGCTGGGGGCGGGGCCGTCCCGGGAGGGTGGGCGGGACAAGCCACGCCCTCGCTGGTCTCCTCACTGCAGACTGGGCCTTTGGCCCTAAGCCAGACCAGGAGGAAGGCCCACGGGAGCTCCGGGCGAGCTTGGCCGCGGAAGACCTGGAAGAGCTGGACCTTCAGCTGGCCCTGACCTGGCGCGGGGAGGAGGACCCCACCCGGGCTCCTCGCCGCCCCTCCATCGCTTTCCGGGACCCGCCCGTGCAAACTGACTTTTGGAGGCTGGACTGACCAGGAGGGACAGCACCTGCAAGGCTCCCTGAGCCCCCACCACCTCAGCTGGGCCACCTGTGTCTGTTGTATGACACAGGCTGGCCTGAAGCTCAGAATCCCCCTGCCTCAGCTTGAGTGCTGGGATTATAGACACAAACCCCACCTTATTAAGACTTTGAGATAGGGTTTCAGTAGATCAAGCTAGCCTTGAGCTTAATAAATAGCAGAGGACCTTGAACTCATGGTCTTCCCGAGGGGAAGGTAGATGACAGGTCACCACACCTGGTTTCTGTGCTCCTGGGAATGGAGCCCAGGGCTTCTTCATACAGGCTGGGTCAGCCCCACTCCCTGATAGTTTTAAATTGTTATGAATAATTCTGGCATAGACTCCTTCTGCATCAGTAGTGTCTGCTAAGAGGAAAAAGTGAGGCTGAATTTGGATACAAAGTAAAAGTGCAGCAAAGGCTGGAGAGATGGCTCAGAGGGTAAGAGCACTGGCTTTTCTCCCAGAGGTCCTGAGTTCACTTCCCAGCAACCACATCATGGCTCACAGTATTGAGGTCCAGCACCCTCTTCTGGCCCACAGGCATACATGCAGGCAGAACACTGTATACATAATAAGTAAAATTTTTGTTTGTATCAAAAACAAACAAACAGAGTTTCTTTTTATGTAGTGCTGGCTGTCCAGGAACTCACTCTGTAGACCAGGTTGGACTTGAACTCACAGAGATCCGCCTCTGTCTCCCAAGTGTTGGGACTAAGGGCATGTGCCACCACTGACTGTTGATAAATAAATCTTTTTTTTTTTTTTTTAAAAAGAAAAGTGTGTCCAAGGGCTGGAGAGATGGCTCAGTTAAGAGCACTGGCTTTTCTTCCAGAGGTCCTGAGTTCAGTTCCCAGCAACCACATGGTGGCTCACAGCCATCTGTAATGAGATCTGGCGCCCTCTTCTGGTCTGAAGGCAGAACACTGTATACATAATAAATAAATCTTTAAAAATAAAAGTGTGTCCACCTCCCTCTCTCGGTCCAGTCCCAGACACTCCCATGTCACCCTCCGGCACAGACAGGAAACTGAGGCAGGTTACTGAGAAGTGTCCAGGCTGATGTCTCAGGAAGCTCGCCACACAGCATGGAGGAGTTCAGCGTTGGTGGCTTGTCATCCTTAGCACTCAGGAGGATAATGGGGAGGATGGCGAGTTCTAGGCCAGCCTGGCCTTCGGAGCAAAAGGAGGCATATCCACCTCACCTGCCAGGCCTGCCGGTCTGGGCTCCTCATGTACTGTCTGGACTGGGCCCTCTTAGCACCTGCCGGGCATACAGGAGGAGTTTAGTACCTGGATGGGTGAAACAGGTCTTTTCTGGCTGTGCCCAGTATTTATCTGAACAATCCTTGATTCTGTCTGTCACTGGGTATACAGAGGGCGCTCTTAAATGTTCTCACAACAGTTTTAAATCTTTTGGTTTAGAAGTTTTCTAAAAAATGTTTCAAGCTGGTCATGGTACCTATCCTTAATCCCAGGACTCGAGAGGCAGAGGCAGGTGGATCTTTATTAGTTCCAGGCCAGCCTGGTCTACAGAGGAAGTTCTAGGACAGCCTGGGCTACACAGAGAAACCCTGTTACAAAAAGCATTTTTTCTCCAGATGGTGTGAAGCCGGCCTCACACTTGGTATGTAGCTGAGGATGACCCTCACAGATGGTATGTAGCTGAGGGTGACCCTCACAGATAGTATGAGCTGAGGGTGACCCTCACAGATGGTATGAGCTGAGGGTGACCCTCACAGATGGTATGAGCTGAGGGTGACCCTCACAGATGGTATGAGCTGAGGGTGACCCTCACAGATGGTATGAGCTGAGGGTGACCCTCACAGATGGTATGAGCTGAGGGTGACCCTCACAGATGGTATGAGCTGAGGGTGACCCTCACAGATGGTATGAGCTGAGGGTGACCCTCACAGATGGTATGAGCTGAGGGTGACCCTCACAGATGGTATGAGCTGAGGGTGACCCTCACAGATGGTATGAGCTGAGGGTGACCCTCACAGATGGTATGAGCTGAGGGTGACCCTCACAGATGGTATGAGCTGAGGGTGACCCTCACAGATGGTATGAGCTGAGGGTGACCCTCACAGATGGTATGAGCTGAGGGTGACCCTCACAGATGGTATGAGCTGAGGGTGACCCTCACAGATGGTATGAGCTGAGGGTGACCCTCACAGATGGTATGAGCTGAGGGTGACCCTCACAGATGGTATGAGCTGAGGATGACCCTCACAGATGGTATGGAGCTGAGGATGACCCTTAAAGTCCTGATCCCATGGCTCCACCTCTGAGTGCTAAGCTGGAAGGCCTATGCCACCTCTCCTGGCTTTTGGGGCACTGGGGATGGAACCCAGGGCCTAGTGCATTCTGGGAGAATGCTTTGCCCTGTGAGCGCAGCCCCAGCACAATTTCTGCTCTGGAGCCCAGGCTAGGCCTGGAGCTAGCCATCCTCCTGCCACAGGCTTCCTGTGTATGGGGTGACAGATATGGCACCCAAGCTCTGTTTCTTTAGAATCTTTTTTCACGTGCCCAGGCTGTGGCTGCCCCCGTGCCGCTCCGGGGTGGGGTGTCCCTTTGCCCAGGTGGGGCTCACTATCTGATCAGCTTGAGGCCCAAGGTTGAGGGCAGGAGAGGAGCAAGGGTACATCGACCTAGACGCCCGGTTCTGCCCGAGCTAGCGATCCTGCTGCTCCAGCCACAAGCCTGACTGCCACACCCAGCTGAATGCACTTGTGAGGGCGTGAGATAGCTTGTTGGTGCGGCCTGACCTCTGTCAGGGGATGCTGGGGACCTGTCACACGTGGCTGGTGCAGGGCTGCCGTCTCCAGGGCAGGATGGGAGGTTGTGTGTGTGGGGAGACGGGACAGTCCAGGTTAATATTAAACCAGCCTCAGACTCTGCCCTCCGGGGCCTGAGGCCCAGCCGGGCAGGCACAGGAGGCCAGGCCACAGGTGGCAGGTTCTCCACCCCTTCTTCCCCCGCCCTCACCAGCCCTGTCTTAACCCCACCCGAGCCTCTGGCCGTTCACACCCGCAGCTGGACGCCGACCTGTTCTCAGCGTTGGCCATGGACACCATGGGCAGGCTACTCCTCCTGGCCGCACTGCTCCTGGCACCTGCCGAGGCCCAGCAGGGTAGGATTGGGGTGCTGAGCACCCTGGGAGGTGATTGGGAACTAGAGTTGGGGCTGGGTTCTCCCTTAGGAGAAACTGAGGCACACAGAGGGCATAGGAAGAAGAGAAGGTGTGAAGGGTGTTCCCCAGGGCCCATGCTCTATCTAGTACCCTTCTCTCATCTCTGAGAGCCCCAAGCTGAGGCCATGGCACTTTGCAAGCTGGGCCTCTGAGCCCCTCAGGGCGGCTATGAGGGTGCCTCAGTGATTTCTCTAAGAGCCCCACCCTCCAGAAGCCCTCTCTTTCCCCTGTGGGGCCCCGTCTTCCTCACTAGCCCCGCCTCTGAGGCCCCTGAGAGCTGTTGGTGCCCATTCTTCCTGAGTCCCACCTCATCCTGACTTTTCTAAACTCTGTCCTCTGGGAACTGATCCTTCCATTAACTGATCCCACTCCCACAGACTCCTCCCTCCTCTCCCACAGCCCCCTCCTCTCCCACAGGCCCCTCCTCTCCCACAGGCCCCTCCTCTCCCACAGGCCCCTCCCTCCACTCTCACAGACCCCGCCTTTCTCTTGCTGACCCTTTCCCCTCTCCACAGCCACAGAGCGCCGCCTGAAACCCTGGCTGGTGGGCCTGACCGCAGTTGTAGGCTTCCTGTTCATAGTCTTTGTCCTCATGCTGGTCAACCGGGTCTGGTGCTCTAAACCCAGGTGAGGACTGAACTCTACCCACCCAGCACCTCCAGTGGCCTCTGAACCCTCTTGGTCTCTCCCGGGTCAGCCTGGAGGTTGCCTTGCTTCCCACCCTCTGTTCAGCCCTCCTGGTTTATGGAGTTCATGACTTCAGGAGGGTATGCGGAGGCAAGGAACAGCCTACAGCTTTCACATACACCTGTCTTTTTATGTGTGCAGACCAGATGATGAAGAGGTGAGAGTCAGAATGGAGTCCACTGAGAACGAGTACACAGAGCCAAGGTACCCTATGGGTGACCACACTTAGCCAGACAGTATTGGGAAGTCAGCTGGGGCAGAAATAGTGCCAAGCAAGCGGGCTCCTGTACAGGAATCCCTCATGCAAGCTCTGGATGCAGGGGAGGAAGAGGTGCAGGGCACAGAGCTGGAACAGGCAGATGAGCTCTGTGATACTGAGTGATTTCTGGGGGAAGGGAGGGGTGAGAGGCTAACAGGGGCCCTGTGCCCAGACCAGTGCCAAGCACAAGGCTGTGTGCCCACTGTACTACACGATTTCTTTTGCACAATGTCCATTACCCCAACATCTACCCAAACACACACCTTTCCAACAAAACATCAACTCATGCACCAAATCACCCATCCATCCACCCACGCACCCATCCATCCACCCACCCACCCATCCACCCATCCACCCATCCATCCATCCATCCATCCACCCATCCATCCACCCATCCATTCACCCATCTGTCCATCATCCGTCTCTCTCCACGGAGTTCATGTTTCCTTTCCTGGTGAGTTACCCTGAGGTCACTGCAGCCCCAGAGACTGTGTCTGACCCTTTAATCCCATGAGCAGTGACAGGCTCTCATTGTGGTCCCTGAACCCTGCAGTAAAATGAACAAGAAGAAGCAGAAAAAGCAGGTGGACAAGAAGGGTGGTCACAGCAACGAGGGCTTGGAGCTGGAGGAGAAGGAATCCTCAGATGACGAGAGAAGCAAGAAAACAGTCTTGTGAAGTCTCCTGCAGCCTGCGGGAGCTCCTGCAAACCACAGTCTCAGCCACCACGAGAATCCAGACTAGTATCGCCTGGATCTCAAAACTGTCTTCAAACAAGGAAGCCACCCCTGCCGGCCAGGTGTCCATCTGTCACCCAACCCCATACACCCTCATCGTCAGCCTGTGCCCTCTCCCTCACCTCTGCTCTCCAGCCCTCAGCCATTCTCTGCCACAGCTACACCCGACTGTACCCTTCCTCTTTTCTGATGGCCCTGAGCTCCTGTGCAGCTCCCAGAAGGCCTTGAGCCCTCTAGTGGAATTTGTGTTTGGGAGGGATGCCCTGTGGCCTGCACTTTCTCAGCCAGGGTCTCTCTTCTCTGGACTGTTCTCCCATGGTCATCTGGTTCTTGCTGAGGACAGTTTTCCAAGGGGGCTTTTGCTTCATGTCATCAAGGGAGGTGTTTTCGGGGGATACTTCCTTCCAGCCCCTTTACTTAATAAAGACCCTACTGTTCTTGCTGGTCCCTTTGTGTAGGCTTAGGAGGCCAGAGCCCAGTGCAGGGTCCCGGGCCACCAAGGAGCTGGGCCTAGGTGGTCTGTCAGTGGAGGCACCTAGTAGGCTCTTGTGAAGCTTTCAGACTCACCTGGACTCCTCCGCTATGCTGTGTGGCCCTGGGAAGGTGCCTCAACCTCTCTGAAGTCCCTTGTTCAGCAGTGACCAGGAGACAGAGTCCTGGGACACTTTCCCTGTAGCCTCCCATGGAACTAGGAGGTCACAGGGGACCCCCAGCTCTTCGCTTTAGGTAAAGAGATTGGGTTCTTTGAGATGAGGCCTCATGTAGCCCAGGTTGGCCTCAATTCTCCATGAAGTCAAATATGACCTTGAATTCCTGATCCTCCTGCCTCTAGACAGGCCTGAGCCACCACAGTTTCTCAGGCTTTTGTGGAAGAGTCCAGAGCTATGGTAGAGCTGGAGCCTGCTTCCCAGTGTTTGGGTGAACAGGTCCCGCAGTGGGGGGTGCACGGGGGAGGGGAGAGGCTACATAGTGGGCCTGGTCTTGTGAGCACCGTCCAGTGCTGTGGGCAGAAGGCACAG